CCCCCCCCACACACACACACACACACACACACTGCAGACAGAGGTGCCCCCCCCCAAACCCCTGATGTTTGGGGGGGGGTCATCATCCGACAACAAAACATCAGACGCCAGAGCACCTAACATGACATATATGACATTTAGTGGATCCATTCACCCCCGAGGGCTGAAATTAACACCCGCTACCCAACATATGCCGCTGAACCAAAGAGAGGTCGTCCATCACTCTGACTTGAAAGCCTCACTTATAAAGAGACGTGAAGAAACCAGAGCATTAATTCAAATTTTTTAAGGCAGCGCCAAATCGAATAAGCGCTCGCAATCCTGTGTCGAAAAATGCTCTCAAAGCTTTATAGTATAGTGTTCAAACAGGATGAAAAGGAAACAGGGCTGTAGAGTAAGTGTTTCCATTTGTCACGTGATTGTTGGATGCATCCATTTGCCAAATTCAATGGACACACAAAATATAGAACGAGGAACAAAAACCTATAGTGTTTGTGTTACTATAATAGAAACTACGTTTTTTTTTCCTGTGTGCGTAAAGAAAATTTAATTACGTAATTCAGAATTCAAAAGCCTTGTGTTACAGTAACAATGAGGTGCACTCATAAATACACACAAACGCTTTAGATTATCAGTTATCAGGCTTTGAGGGTGAGTTTCAAGCCCCATTTTTCGTCCCAGAAGGCTCATAATCCCCTGCTGGGTCACACAGATTAAGGACTCTTCCAGAAGATGAGATACAGTGCTCCCTGGCACTCCTCACCCTCACCCCTGGCACACACACACACACACACACACACACACACACACACACTCACACACACACTCACACACACACACACACACACACTGCTTGGTCTCTGGCCCAAACTAATGCAGCGTTTCAGGGGGAGTCAGAAAGTCCCTTCAGAGATCAACTCAACAAAATGTTGAAGTTACAACTTCAGAATATACCCTTACATCCACCAGTGCAGAGACATCACAGTGTTTGCCACATACTGCGGTTTTGGATGGAGTTCGGGAGAAAAGTCACACCACAGTGGTAATGAAGTTTTTACCCCTGCTTGCAGCATGGCTCAGTCAGATGGTGATCTGGATGGACTGACGTGAAATTTTCCTGTTGCCAAGAGGATGACATGCCCATCTGCCTCAGCTGTTTGCTGTATTTAGTGTCCATTAGCAAATATTGAACATGGTAAACATACTTGCTCAACACTGTCAGTACACCATAAACAATCTGATTGTAATTTACCTCAGTAGTTTCCTTTGAATCAAAGATTAAAACGCATTCCCTGATTTGACCTAATTTGTGTTTGACGGGGGGGTCATGCTTAAATTTCTGTAATCTTTTATGACTGTGTTTTTATTTGTGTTCATGATATGTATTATTATCATAGTAGTGTTAAGACTCACAGCTGTAAGTGTTGGTATGGCATCAAACAGCACTAGTATTGTTTCCTTACCACGCCCCTAGAGTCTCTTGTGACACTCGGCTTCCCCACAGCGATCGTATTGACCTTCTAACTGTCAGGCGCTGACACCGTCGATGAGGCTCTGAGCTCTGATCCCAGAGGTCGACCTCACCGTGACCTACAGTGGGCTATCTGTTGTCCCACGCCTGAGGAAATCACTCAGAACAAAACGGCCGCCTCAGAATCATGGGTGCATTTTACTGTGACAACAGTGTAAACACCTCGATATTTATGTAGAAATACTTGAAACCAAAGCCCAGTAGTCCCCTTCAAATACGTCAAATTTTTCCCCATAAAAAATCCTTAAATTGATCCCTGAGAAATTGGTGAAAATGTCAAATCATCCATAACTCCTGGATCCACCCCTTGATTTAATGTCCCATGTCCCACGACCCTTGCACCCAAATTCGTGCCCCAATTCAGGGGCTGCGTCTTTCGGATGATGCGGCCTATGTATGGGACGGGATTTGAGGGCCGGGTATCCCTGAGGGCCGAACAAAAACCACACAGTCCAGTAAAAAAATGGAGGATTTCTTTGTGTCACCATCATCTTGTCACAGTCGCACTCGCCAGTGTCGCCTAGCAACTGCAGTTGGACACGAAGAGAAAGTTTTAATGCCCTTTGTTTTGTTTTTTTACGTGTTCTGTTCGCTGTAGATTTGATGTTTCATTCCCATTTCTTGCTGCCACTATTATCTCTTTGAAGAACAGTGTGTCACCAAGGTTTATTTCAAGAAAGATCCACCTGTTGGAGTCTTAGTCGCTCGGGGACGGAAGCATGCATTTATAGGATTGGGACAGCCTGGTTGCTTTTCAAATGCAGCCTACGAAGGATGCTGCCCCTGAACTGACGCACAGTTTATATCACAGATGCATGTGTACTGTTTCAATATGGGGATGAAGCCAATGTTTTCAAACTTCACACTTAAGTGTTTTGGGAAGTCAAAGAGGAGCACAACTAAAGTGTAGCTGCACTAGACATCGTGCACCTTCTGCACAGGAGTCAGCTGCCTCTAGTGCATCATCCACATTGTGTGTGCAGCATGAAAAAAACCTCCACTAAGCTCTTTCAGGTGTGCAAACCAGAAGCATGAAAATATGTAGCCTTGAAAGTGAAAAGCAGGAAATTCTTTCATAATGTGACAAGAAACGACGCAGACTTTCTCTCGGGTTTGAGCAGTTGTCTGATCACACTTTCTTCTGTCTCACCCTGTGTGTTTCTGCCTGTTTGAGTATTGATGTATCGGCCTCCATTAGCCAAATAGAAGCGTTTCATCAGTGACGCTGGAAAGAGGCCATCACTTGAATGGACATAAACATACAAAGACGCCAGCGTACACACTCACGCACACACAGAAACAAGCTGAGTGTCTCGGCGGCAGCTTTACGAGCCTCCCGCTGTCACTTTAGTCTAATCCTTGCCATTTTAATGGGCTTCTGGCTTCCTCTAAAAGGGAAACCTTTGGCAGAGAGCAACATGGAACCACTGCCCTCTGTATTGTCTTGTCCCTCACCTGAGAGGTTCCTCCAACTCCTCTGCAGAGACGGCATGTTTGGACAAGTGCGAGTTTGTTTGTGCTTTTGCTCGTCTACGTTTGTGCTTGTCCAGATCCGGGCCCTTAATCTGTGGTAGTGATGATGACCCAGTTTCGCTGACGCCACCCCCCCCCCCCCCCCCCCCCCCCCCCCCCCCCCCCACCCCGCCCTCAGTAGTCGGTCACCAAAGGAGACGCTTCCCTCTCATCCACATGCAGAACCATCAGATACTGACAAAGGTTAATCCATCTCCAACACACACACACAAACACTTCCATTGAATAGGTCTTAATTCAGGTCAGTCTCATTGGGATCTGGAGTTTTAAAGGAACATTCCAAACAAATGCAGAAAAGGATTTGTTTAATAAATTGGAGTTTCGATCTCTCCCATTTCTCCGAGTGACGATTGAAACAGAGAGCAGGCACATGGGCAGCTTTGATGGAAATTCATGCAAACGAATTCCTCTTGCACTTCTGCGTGCACATAATTTGTACAGACATACACACACACACACACACACACCTGACTGAATGCCCACCCTCTACGAACAGGATCAAATCAAAGTGAGAGAATCTGTGATATATCTTGTCCCATTTTCAATATCTGACTCCTCTCAGTACGGATGGCTTAACCTTCAAACACACACTCCTACACACCCACCCAACGAATTTATCCGACGAGCTGCTAATCCCGTTGGCCCAGATTTGGCCCACAGTCTGCTCCACATGATGTTACGTTGTCATCGTCATCCCAACAACTGCACACACACACATACATGCATACACTGCACCCATCGCCCCAACTCCAAAGCTGCATCACGTGACCTCTTGCGAGAGTCATGTGACTCAGGAGCTGCTGCACCTGTGACCTACTGTACTGAACCACAGCACACGCCAGCAGCATAGTGGGATAAGCGATGCTTTGGTGTGAGTCACTGTGTGGGGGAAATGCAAAGCAGGGCAGGCTCATCATCTTCATTATCGTCATCCTCACTGCAGAGGTGGTCGAGCGGCAGGAGGATGAGGAAATGAGGGAGGAAGACAATCCCCTGCTCTCTGTGGGTCATGCATGTATATTTATCTACAATCTATTTTTTGCCTTTGTAGGCTTGTGTGATCAGACTGTCCGCATGTGCCGAGATGTTACATGATGCCCCCCCCCCCCCTTGGAGCTTTGTGCATCGCCGCTTCACCATGGCAACAGGTCCTCTCACACATCAGAGTCAAGACAAGCGGATTGCAGCCTAAATATGAGCAAGCAAATATGAGGTGGGTGTATAGAAAGCATGAATGCATGCTTGAAACTATGCAAAAGAAGAATCTTCTGTGTCTTTCACAAGCTTTAGTCGGAGCCAAGTTAATGACACAGCAGTTCATCTCATATATGTGCTACCAACACTAAGAAACACATTCAAATCAACAGCAAAATCAAAGATACAAAAAAATAATGTACTTGACTTCACAACTCCTTCACTTGGGTCAGCAGCTCAAGGGACTCTGATTCTCATGCAGCTAAAGGAGAAACCAATAGTTCTGCCAGTGTTTCTGTAGGTCCACAACCTTCAGAGTCACTTTAACACGTTTAGTGTGAGCGAACTAACAACTCTCATACTAACACAGTCCTGATAACTTGCTAATGCTCGGAAATGTGGAAAGCAGTTACGTGTAAGGAGCTGTTTGAGGTTTTTAACTATTATTTTGCACGTGTCTCATCTTGTGTTCAATTTTTGTAGCATTATATATTAACACACACTGTTTTAAGCATTGAAGGCAAAATATCAGCTTTTTTTTCGTGTTTGCGCCAAATTTAAGACGTAATATACAGATTAATAAAAAAAGGTAATGATGATTTGCAGTCAGCTGTCCTCAGTCTATTATTACGACCATATGGCCACAGCTCAACAGTTGGTCGACTGTTAATGTAATCAGGTCAGTGGATCATTCCACTTTCTCCGTCTTTTCCCGGCTGAGAGCGAGAGAGTGATCATTTATTCTGTCAGAATGAAATGATCCTTAAAAGAAAAAAATCTGATGGCTCTTGAAGTCTGCGCTACACGTTCGGCACCCAAAGGAGAGGACACGAGAGGATATGAATTTCCACATTCAGCCGAGCCCAGAGATGAACTGCAGCAAAAAAAAAGAAGAAAAAAAAGACACAAAGAGCGAATTCATGAAAGAGGACGCGTGGGGGGGAGGAGAGGAAGGAGGGAAATGGAAAGAATAATGATGGAGACAATGAGTGGGGGGGGGGGGGGGTGAGAGAAGCAGATGCAGATGAAAGACGGGATGATGATGCTGACGATGATGAGACCAAAGTAGCAGTTCTTTCGAGAAAGGAGGTGAAGAGCGAGGCAGAACGGCGGCGCTGAAGTGAGAGAGGTTTACAACGGCTCCCTGCAGGAAAAATGGCTCCGGTTCCCCCATCGCTCTAAATCATGTCACTTGGCTACATCCTGTCTGTTCTCAACTTCTCACCAGGCCTGAAGGCGATAAACAGGCCTGCTGCCTTATTGGAAACAGATGTTATGAATGGGAAAGAGAAGGTGGCCAAAGAAAGAAAGAGAGGTGTCCAGTGGCCTAATGAGATCTTAATGAATGGTACTAGAGCAATTTATTAATAGCAACATAAGAAAGTCCAATATAATATACCTGGCATCAAAGTCTGGTCCCTCGTCTACAGATATTCACATGTACAATCTATTTATAGAGATCCGTGTTCATTTCTGGTCCTGTGATCAAACCTGATCTGTTTTCTATGAGTTAAACGTTCATAGACGAGTTTGATACGCTGAATTTAACTCCAGGATTTTGATTTTTCATGCACGATCAACTGGTGTGATCAATGTCAACATCTATCTCTGTGCACCCACGATTTAATATGTGTACTATACACAAACGCCTGAGCATAACCTTGGGTTTTTATGTCCTGGCCTCACACTGTGGCCTTGGTTATGTCTTTAAATGTTATCCAGGCCGGTATCCTCAAAAAGTTTCTTTTTTAAAGATACCTGTCATCTCATTGTCCTCCTCTTAAATCTCGGTGGCACTACCTGTCTGAATGAAGCCTAAAATGGATTTTTCCACATGCGTCCTCCCCCTCGACACAATGGCAATTGTCTCCTGCGTTTCAAGCTCGTCCATTCGGTTTAATCCACAGCGAGTGAGCGGATCACTCCCCTTTAAGCCAATCAACATCAACTGGCACATGAGAAGCTGTCATGGCAAGTGCTCACAGGTTTACCCTGTGTTAAAACCCTCAATGACTACATTTTACCAGATAGTCGATAGATAGATATATAGAAATATATACATAAATACTTTAGGGAAAAGTTGCACTTCATATGTCATATGTTGAAATTGTAAGCTCTTCATCACTTGTCTTTAATCTAAAACATGTCTTCTCCTCAGACATGGGAATTAGGAGTCGGGCCCCTGTGCCCTCACACAACCAGAGGAGACAGCATCCAAACCAGAGCAGATGAGACGCAGACATGCACAGAGCAGAGAGTCCCTGCGCTGCTGCGCTGCTCCTGAAACAAGAAGTGAGACAGAGAGGGAGGTAAAAGTCCATCTACCCATTGTTCAGCTGTGGTGGAAACTGAACCCGAGAGAAGAAGTGGTAAAAACTACCAGATGATGTCCACACGTTGTTGGAGGGGGTGGGAGCATGAATGGATCATTAGTCCAAACAGCCCTCACTGTCCTCAAATACAGAGAGTGCAGTGCAATAACACTTTTTATTCACTTATTTATTTATTCTTTCTGTTTTTTCTATTACTTCTAATTATAATCTATAACTAGTGTCATTATTGGGGGGGTGGGTAGATAAATCTACAAGATAGATAAAGTAGATAATAGTATTTAGTATAATACATATGGTATACAGTATATATTGATATGTATGTATTGTATTCTGCTTCTTAATTAAGATCTGGAATGTGTACAGTAAACTAAAGCACAATTACAAGTCCGGAAAGTAACTAAGTACACTTACTCAAATACTGTACTTAAGTACAATAGTTAGGTACTCACACTTATACTTTACTTGAGTAGTTCTTTCTTCTGCTACCTCCTTATGCTTCTGGATATTCCTGTCAATATCAGGAGAAAGTAGATATTGATCTGACGTCTATAGTTACTTCAGATAAAGATTCAGTCAATGGTTTGTGTTATTTATCATGTTTTTGTCTTTCAAAGTTCTAGTATGGTTTAATTACTATATCTATTTAAAAAGGTTCTAATATTTTTTTATTTTAGAAACAGAAATGAATTAATCTGAATCGTGTCTTCTTCTTTGCTGTTCCAGTTATCATCTCAGGACACTTCAGATTTATTTTGGGTCTAATCTCGAGGTTGGAAACTGGACTGGACAAACAACCTGTGTATACAAGGTAGAAAACATATTTGATTCTATATATGTGTAATTTTACTTGTAATGTAGTTGTGTTGCTAATGTTTTTTATTATTAGTCAAAGAAACTGTTCCCTGATATTAAATATACTTTGTCCCAGTAGGAAAACCTACTTAGATACTTAGAGATTATTTCCAAAAGGATCTGTGGAACTGAAACTGCCATGATGATATGAATGTGTACAGCGTAGATCAGATTGTAAAAGCTTCTGTTTTATCTTTGCATAAAAGATAACCATTTTAGTTTGGCCCATTTTTACATTCACATGCAGCGACGGGGTCAGAAGTGCGGTGACCTCAGATGAAAATGTGCGTCATGTGCGTCTTGTCCTGTTCGCTACAGTGTGTCCTCTGTGTGCGCACTAATACAGACACTACATTCTGTAAGCCCATGCTCACACATTACCAAGACAGGAATTACTTCTGCACAGTCAGATGAAAAGCTAGAAGAGATTATACGTTTGTAAATGTTTAATTCACTTGTTTTAAATGTAGAAACGTGCTGCCCAAACACAGAATAGCAGTTTTGTAATCAAGAGTCCACAGAGGTAACGAAGAAATCACGACAGACAAAGCTGGTTTTATCCGGACATAAACCACTTTATTAGAAACAGAATTAATTCTACAAAATTGTGCAGGGCGGAGAGGAAAGAGATCCGTCGACATCCCTCCTGATAAACCACACAACAATGCTCTCAGCCTGATGCAATGTCTGAGTCTGAACAGCACAGTTTAGAGGAAACAGCAAAATCACTGTTGAAAAGTGGAATATCAGAAGCAGCGATGCAGGCGCGCTGCTGGATGTGAACAGAGAGGGTCAAGAAAAAAAAAAAAAGCCTCTGTGCTTTAACAGAGTTGACAAGCATAAGAGGAGCTACTGCAGCGTGAAGCATCACCGAGCTGGAGGGGGAACAAAAACAGATTAGGAGGAAACACGCAGACACGTGGTGTTTGAATGTATTCACGTTACCTGCGGGGGCAGTTACACTGTACCTGACACTCAACCAATGGCGATGCAGCTTCTGCCCTAAACAAAACACGAGATCCAGCGTCATACGTACGATCACAACCATGAGTTTTCATCGGGGGCAGCAGCTGACAGGTCAGTGACGTCCGTGTCCTGTGAAGCAGAAGCTCCACTAATTCATGCAACTTAAAATAACTTCTATCCCTCAGCTGCCCCGAACCGTTGCTTCTTCTTTCGCAGCTTTGTCAACAACAACAATCAGTTTCATGACAAAGCTGCTGCACCAGTGAAAGATCAACGGCCGGATCTCCTGTGGCTCTTTTACTGCCCGCTGCCATCACAGCTTCAGTGGGATGACGGGCCAGTACTTGGGCTGCTTGAGGTCACAGTTCCTGTCAAATGTGAGCTGCATCGCTGCCTCCATGGCCAGGATCTTGGCCGCGTCCTTGCCGTACAGCTTCTTCATTTCGGCGCCGCGTCTCTCGCCAGGCCGCTCAAAGGGGGGAGCCGCAGTGCTTCGCCAGGAGACGCCACGCAGGTCCCGGTCGGCCAGCACGTAGCTGTCCTGCTGCTCGGCCTCCTGCTGCTTCTCTGGAAGAACAGGAGTATTTTAAGTCACATATCTAAAACTTTTCTTTATGATTAAAAATTTGCATCCATAAGAAGAGCAAGTGGAGAAGGAGAAACTTTTTTAACTTTCCAAAGCTCTGTCACAGGACTTTTCAACACCTCCGCCCAATGTTCTCTTACTCAGCTCCTCTCTGTGTCTCTCCGTCTGGGCGAAGTACTGCCTCAGCTCCTCGCTGATCTCCATGTTGCTGACGTCACACTCGATCTCACTGTCCGAGCTGCTCTCCTCCTCCCCGTCCTCCCTGGCGCTCTCCTCGGCGTGCCAGTCCGCGTAGCGCTGGTGGCGGCCGCTGCTGGGAAGCTGCTCCTGGCCGTGGCCGGGGCCGTAGGCTGCCTCTAAGGCCTTGTGGTAGGCACGCCTGTGTTTCTGGTGCCAGGTCATAGCCTGCTGGTAGTGCTGCCAGTAGCGGCTGTAGACGGGGCTGGAGAACCAGGACATCACAGTTTGTATGTCCTCCTGGAAAAGAGAGAGATCAGTGGTTATGCTTTAGTTTCTTACTAACCACTGATGTCATTCAGCTTCTGTTGTTTTCACTTGAAAATGAAAATCTGAAGCACTTTGAGCTGCATTTTACTTATAAAACGTGATCTTTACATACATTGAATTCCTATCATTTGTATTAATACTGTATAGCTGTTAATAAACTGCACGTGTGAGGCTATATAACTATAAAACTATACAAACACGACCTGAGCAGCTTTAGTGTCATGATTCGTTTTCACCCAGCTGAAGACTACATTTCCCAGAATTCACTCACCATGTCTGGGGCTCCTCCTTCTAACTCTGCTAACGATTAGCCACCGCTAGCCTGCAATGAAAAGACAGAAGATCTAGCATCAACTAGCATCAACTAGCTAGCATCAGGCTAAGTCTGCGTTTCATAACCCGCAACAGGGAGAAGGCGACACAACACGAAGTTAATAACAGTCAGTATAAATAACTAACGCGTGTTTTAACTCTCATTTAATCACGGTTACCTCCGGGGTGTCTCATCTGATCACGCTGCTTCCGCACACACAACTTCCCAGCATCCTTTGAGCCACAGCGACAGGAATACTGGCTGTGTGGCGCCCCCTAGTGACTACAGAGCGGAAGAGCAGTGTAAAGGTTCAAGATTTAGGGTGAAAGGATCTAAAGGTAGAATTTAAATCTAAAATAATCCTCGTGATTATTTCACTTCTGTTGAATCGATTACATTATAGGATTTTTTGTTTTCTTAACCCTAAAATGTAATGTGTGTATATTCACTTGAATGTGTTTTACAGTTATTGTGGACGGTGAGTTTGTCTGTGCATTTTTCACTTCTGTTCAATCGGAAATCGTGTTAAAGTAGTTACTTCCGCTTCTATATCAGTGGAACAAAAGAAATAGTTTCAGGCAGCCCGTCACTTCAGAATCCTGCTCTGATCCATCATGAAACAGTTTAAAATGCTTTGTTCTCACACAAACAACGTTTGTGGTCTTGTGTTTTCTGCAAATTCAGTGCAAACATTAACTTGGACATTAAGAAGAACTGATTTTGAGATTTTGGTGGTCAAAGGTCACTGTGACTTTGTGACGTGTCATCTTAAGAACGCCTCGAGAGAAAACTTTCAAATATGGTACAAATATTCACTCAGACTCCCAGAATAGCTGATTAGATTTTGATTTAGATCTCTTGAGTATCAATGAATGTCGGCATGTTCATTTAGATTTGAGGCACTTTCTCATGCTACCTGTGTGAACCTTTTATATACAGTCTATAATGTTAACACAAGCCCACTTCCTGTTTCGATGCCCAGACTCACACCCCAGCGCGAGCTGAGTGTTTGAGGTTTGGAGCTGCAGAGCCACACAGGGGAGTTTCTGTCACAGCACCCTGAAGAACACTGTAGTCTGTTGCATAAATGTCTTGACCAGTATGATGGCTGGACTGAAACTGTGGTTTGTTCTGCTTCTGTCGCTGATCTTCTATGTTGAGAGCAAAGGTATCGTAGAAACTACTTACTAAAGCTTAAAGCTTACACAAGACATTGTTCTCTGTTAATCCTTCTTTCTTTGATTAATGGAATATGTGGAATATGTTTATCTAATTCATTTGTGCATGGTTTTATTTTTGAGGSTCTACCTCAGTGACTCTGCAACATGTGAAAACCTCCGGGAAAGAACCGTACTTCGCTTCTGTGTGCAGAAATAAAACCGAGGATATCATCATAWTTYTAGYGTGCACCATCATGACAGAGAGACACAGGGGATCACAGTGTAAACTRKTSTATCAACATGGAAAAGACTTAGAGAACAGTTGTGACTCCAGCGTCAGATTCATGACGGAGAATCAGACTATGTTCCTTCATCTGAGCAACTTGACACCAGAGGATGGGGTCRACTTCACCTGTCATTGTTCACGTCCTGATGGAACATTTCGCGTTAATRTCAGTGTCACTGTGGAAGGTGAGTGAGTGCTTATATCAAACTTTCTTTACATGTCAGAGAAAATAGAAGCAAGTATCTGTAAAGTTAAAAACCACAAAACACAATCCAGAAATCTTGGTGTCGTCAGGGACTCAGACTTTAACTTGAACAGCAACATTAACACATTTACTGATTATTTACACCTTAACAACAAACAGATCAGCACAGATTAAAAGATTTGTCTCAAGAGGATTTGAAAAAAAGATATATTTCTCTCTCTATATATAGACATATAGATATATCTATCTATATACATGATGCATATCTGACAATGTATTTTCTATGCAGAGGATGAAATCGCCAGCAGCTCGTCTGAAGCACGTTTCCCTTATGTTGTTATTGGTGTAATTATATTCTTCGTTATATCTGGAGTGATCCTGGGACTTCTCTGCAGAAAGACTTGCAACGGGTAAGAGACTAATGTGGTGCTGATGGAGAATAAAATATCACAACAGCTTCAGGTGTAGAGGCTGGTTCTAAGGGGAAGTGTGTGAACATACAGTGGAATTGTTTTTTAATAATCATATTATTTTATTATGATGTCATATAGTACAAATTTAACCCCTACGCATT